CGACCAAGGAATTTCTTTGGATCAATCTCACTATGTGGAGAAGATCTTAAAGAAATATAAATACTTTGATTGTAAACCTGCATGCACTCCGTATGATCCAAGTGTGAAACTGTTTAAGAACACTGGAGAAAGTGTCAAACAAGCAGAATATGCGAGCATCATTGGCAGTCTTAGGTATGCCACTGATTGTACTAGACCCGACATTGCATATGTCGTAGGACTGTTGTGCAGATTTACAAGTAGGTCGAGTAACGAACATTGGCAAGCTATTGAGCGAGTAATGAGGTACCTTAAAAGGACTATGGACCTCGGCCTACACTATCAGAAATTTCTTGCTGTACTAGAAGGGTATAGTGATGCAGATTGGAACACCTTATCAGATGATTCCAAAGCTACTAGTGGTTATATATTTAGTATAGCCGGTGGAGCTGTATCTTGGAAATCAAAGAAACAGACCATTCTGGCACAGTCCACAATGGAGTCTGAGATGATAGCATTAGCTACAGCTAGTGAAGAAGCAAGTTGGTTAAGATGCTTGCTAGCTGAGATTCCTTTATGGGAAAAACCTATATCAGCTGTGTTGATCCACTGCGATAGTACCGCGGCTATTGCAAAAGTTGAGAACCGTTATTATAATGGTAAAAGACGTCAAATTAGAAGAAAACATAGCACTGTTAGAGATTGTATCTCTAAAGGAGCTGTGAGAGTGGATCATGTGCGCACTGATGAGAACTTAGCAGATCCTTTGACGAAAGGATTAGCTAGAGAGAAAGTCCATAATACATCCAAAAAGATGGGACTAATGCCTTTAAAGCAATTAGTTACTCATGATGGTAACCCGACCTAAATGACTGGAGATCCCAAGACTTAGGTTCAATGGGTAATAACAAGTTGTGAGTAATATGAAAATGATCATGCGAGTAAAGCATGAATCCTGAAGTAATGAAAGGATGGGATAATAGAAACTCTTAATGAGATCTATACTCTATATGAGGGAGTACCTAGGCTACATGAGTACTCTTGATAGATCCACCTATGTGACTGTGGAACTGAGGTCGGTTCCTATGGAATTTCGAGGCAGAATTCCTAGAGCATTCACTAAACCGGGATACACGTGCAGGGTCACTAAAGCACGGGCTACAAGAATACACCTTACGGAAAGGTTGTGTGCGGGTCTGATGTCCGAGATAGAGTTCAAGAAAATGGTGTCACTCTTGTTGAATCAGAATCCTACTCGCTTCGCTAAGGTTCAAGTCGTAGACACCTTTGCTTATGCACAATCTTAGAAACGTCTGACGTACTTCTAAAATCTCTTTTTAAATTCAAGTGGGGGATTGTTGGAACTATATTAATTAGAGTGAGAATTGGAAAGATTTACTGACAATTAATGGGCAATAAATCAACACAAGTAAGAAGTAATATATAAGTGAATTTGAAAAGATTCATTTTAGTCCCACATTGAAGGAATGAAAATTAAGATTCATTTTAGTCCAACATTGAAGGGAATGAAAATTAAGATTCAATTTAGTCCCACATTGAAGGGAATGGAAATTAAGCCTTACTAGCTGCCTATAAATAAAGGGTAGAAATTCAGTAGTAAGTACTCCGAATTTCACAAATTCATGAATTTTGATTTCCCTCTTCTCTTCCTTAATTCTCTTCATCTATAATTTTTTTCTTTTCTTGACTGGTTATTTTCACCAGATACTGTAACTTAGAAAGGTGTATTTCTAGAGCGATTTATCAGTGTGCAACTGATAATCGTAAAGTTTTTGAACGGGCTATTTTATCCTGGAGGCGTCGTCGTAAATCGACTGCTTTGCATATTTTGGCAGTACGGCGAAACGTCTTAAAGAAAGCGACCTAGTACGCGACTCGTCCCGATAATTTCCTTGTGCCAAACTCAAATTTTCAAATCCGAAAACAACACTTGATAAAACAAGTTAAATTATATATCCTGATATATATTCATTTTCTTTTTTTTTTTCTATTTGTAGTGTCCTCGTCAACGTAATGGTATAGATTACGGTTATTTTGTATTGAGGTTTATGAAAGAAACTCTTCATTTGGGTCAAATAGAGACTCCAAACATGGTATGGATTTATAAGTTGGGATTTATTTTAATATTTAGCGGATATATATTTCATCTAATATTAATTAGTTTTAACTAAATCATGCATATTATGTTGTATTATGTAGTACTTTGATGAATTCAAGTGTGCTACTTACTCAAAAGATAAACAGGAAGAAATTAAGGAAGATTGATGTCAATACATTCTTGAGACGAGAATTATATAAGGTATATAATATATTTTTTTTATTTCGTGTAAAGTTTATGGTCTTTAGAGATTTTAGTTGGTGTAATGTTTTGTACTACTGAATAGAAATAGTTCTTGAAGTTGTTGTATAGTTTTGTAAGTTGTTGTACTTTTAGAAGTTGTTCTGAGTTTATGGAACTTGTAATTATGTATAATTAATATTTAGAAGTTAAAGATTTTGGAAGTTGATATGTTTTATTAGAATTATGGAGGTTTGTGTTAAATTATAATGGTTATTATGAGGTTTCTGTTGAATTAAACAGGTTTATGTGTTGAATTTTAATGGTTATGAGGTTTGTGTTGAATTAAGTAGGTTTATGATGTAAATAATGGTATATAAAGTTGTGTTGAATTAAGCAGGTTTATGTGTTGAAATAAAATTCTGTTAAATTATTGGTTATTGTTGCACCCCAAAATTTGCCCAACCTTTTCTTAACTTGGTTTATGTTTCATTTCATTTTTTTCTAGCATTTGCATTGCATAGCATGTTACATTGAACAGGGGATCAAGAGCTTGTTCACATCAAGAGGAGTCTACTCATAGGTTTGAGCCTAAGCAAGGGGTGATACTCAAGTTTGGATGGTCATCAAGTCATCAGGAAGTGGGCAATGGTCTTATGAAAGAAAGGATGGATGTCTGTGGGTCAGCTCCTAACTTGGAGGCCAGTTCAAGATCACCAGAGGGTTGTGAATTCATGGTTATGGATATAATATGTTGAGAGAGCTCATTGAGTGCTTTGAAGGTCATTGTGGAGCTCATCCAAGTGTTTGTGCTAGGTGTGAAAGGTTACAGTTGAAGATGTTGCAATTAGGGTTTTCATTTGGTTAATCCTTAATCAACTGTGAAATTCAAGAAGATTAAAACTCATTTCAAAGTCTCTATGATCATGGGATATTGTGTTTGGATATATGAGATATCATTTCAAGTTTAATTCATCAAGGATCAAGTGTGTGAGAAGTTACTAAATTAGGGTTCTCAGGGTAAAATCCCCTAGTTAGTGCCTGACTTCAAGACCACCTATATCAAGATACAAGTTTCATCTCAACTTTTTACCAACATGGAACTTGTATTTTATGTTCTTAGCTTTCTTTTGAGTACTAGAAGTCCTTGATTGGATTTACAGAACTCAAGTTATGATCCAGACAAGTTACAGGTCATCAGAGGGATGTGATTTTGGTCAACAAAAGTCAACCAACTTCCAAGCCATTTTTTACCTAGAAGGATGTTTCTCCTCAACTTTTGGCCAACATGAAAGTTTTAGATCTTGGTCTTAGCTTTCCAAAATGTACTAGAAGTCTTTCCTCTGATTTGTTAAACTCAAGTTATAAGAGTTACAAGTCAGGGGTATTTTGGGAAAGTAAGATTATAGGTCATAAAATTATAGGTCCATTTCACCAACTTGCACACTTCAAATGAAGATTTCTCCAACATCAAACTTTCTCCAAATGGTGTTATTGGCTTAGTCAAGCATTGAGAAGTCATGGCTTATGCTTGGAATGAAGATTGGATGTGTGAATTTTCATGGAAGAAGGATTAAAGGGGCAAAATTGGAATTATTTCATTTTTTATCAATTTGGTGCAAATGGATGCATTTTCTAAGTGCAAACTTCATTTCAACCACATTGGAAATTTTACAATTTGAATTTGAGGTGTTTAAGTGAGTTATTTTCAAGGTTTCTTAACTATGAAGTTACACAACCAACATGAGCCATTGAGATCAATTTGAAAGTTGTGACGTAAAACCAACTTGAAAAAGTAGCCACGTGATAAGCACGTCGGAACTTTCCCAACATTTTATTTTCAACGTTCAAAAATTAAATGACACCCAACGGTAAAAAATTAAAATAATATATTAATGTCTTCCCATTTGCGACGTGGGAATCATGTGGGAAGATCTACAAAAGTCAAATCAACTTTTAATGTGTCCCAACTGTAAAAGTAAATGCAGATCAACTTTAATATTTTCCCATTTGCGATATGGGTACCATGTGGATACTTTTTGACTTGTTTTCCACGTCGCAAAAATAAAGATATTTTTGATTTTTTGTTTCCCATATATTTACCCTGCCACAACTTAATTTCTGAATAATTCAAATTTCCCTCCGCAAAAAAACAGCACTCAACGTTACAAATTTTAAATTTGAGAGGGTTATTAATTAAATAATGTAGTGACGTGGTTTACACGTCGCAACCTCTGTTTTTTTCCATGTGTTTACCACGTCACTAAATCACTTAGCAAAATGCATGTTTTTTTTGTAATGATGAGAGCAAAATTGAGAAAGAAAATAAAAGATAAAATTATAAGTCCAACATTGTATAAACAAATTAATAAATATATTTTAATAAATTTTATGGAATACAAATGAATATGTAACTAACTTCATAACTTATACTATACACGTTTGCAAATCACAAACAAATAAGTAATTAGTAAATAATAAATCAGAAAACTTTAACACAAGTAAAAGAGCTATTATTTGAATAATAGATATATATTGTAATCAAATTTGGAAGTAAAACAAAATAAAAAGAAGATACAAGGACATCACATTGGCTAGCTAGTATTCTTCCACAATGGTTGCTAGACATTATTTAGACATGACAACAGTTTCTTTAAAAGTTACATTAAAAGAGTTCCTTATTTTATTATGGTTGGTTGGAAGTACCAATTGCAGTGATTGATCATTTTGGCTGATCTTTATTTTTTCCCTTCTCTTGTTTGCTGCTTTTTTTGGATGAGGCCAACTCGGAGGAACTTCCTACCGTTGAATTATCATTGGGTGGGTGGGAAGATTGGTAATATGTCTCGGAAGTTGAGCCCAATCTTAAGGAACTTTCATACTTTTCTTTTGTTTTCTGGTAATAACTTTTATCAGCGGTTTGGTAGGAAGATTGGATTGTCCCATAAGATGAGCCTGACCTGGTGAAACTTCCATGCTGGGAAGTTTGGCCTGGCCCAGAAGTTCTTAAGCCCGGTAAATCACCAATTTCTCGGATAGAAGGTTTGCCTGTCCATGAATTTATTTGAGTCTTTAAATTTCTTTTTATTCGTGTAGCGCCACCTTCGATGGAAGCTGAGCCCTGGAGGAACCCACCTGCTTTCGTGTGCGTTCTATTGTCCACATTTTTAGTAAACTTTTTTGGGGCAGATGCTCTTTTTTTGACAGGTGAAGGTTTTTGCCCCAATCCCTGGTTCTTTTTTCCCGGATTTTTTTTACCTCCCCCAAACATGTTGATAGTTTTTTCTGCAACAATTAAGAGAAAAAGGATAATTATATTTCAACATACAGATAACTAAATATGATGCATAAAAAAAAGAATTCTACAGTTTTAGGAGGAATAACTTTATAAGGATGAAAAACAATAAAGATGAAAAGAAAAGAAAAACACCAATTTGTTTGGAAATACATGTTAAATATTTACCAAATCTTTCACAACTTTGAATCAAGCTTCACTTATTTTCCTCGCTGAAGCTGTGAGGACTTTGTTGTATGTTGAAGTATAAGTTTGGAGGTTTTATAATAACAAGGGAGGGCTTCACAATGACGCGGATATAGGCCAGGTAACTTCGTTTCTAGTAGAAAATAACACGCTATTTACTCATTCACCATAATTAATCAACATATATTTTATATATTGGGTTGTCTCTATCTTTGGGCATGCTAGACAACTGCAGCATGTAAATTTAAATTTGTCATAGTTAATCTTTAATTAAATAAGACCTCATAAAATATTTATAATAATTAAACTATGGTCAAGTAGAATTTTTATTTGTTTTTTCATAATTAAACTTTAATTAATGTCTGTGATTTCATTTATCCTATTTTAAGGTGACTTACTATCTAGTCTTTTTTTTTTCTTTTGGCATTGACCCTCAATCTCTGAGGAACATGGCCAAGGTTTTTTTAATAAGCAAAATAATATCAAAGGTGGTATAGGGGGAACTCCAAACTCACCATCAGAGTGAAAATTAATTAAACACTAGAAGGGATGTATAAAACTGTCACCCAATCATGTGCTGAATCTGGGGCAGGAAATTAAGTCTCAAAGTATACAATTGCAAATACAAGTGTTGTAAACAAAGTGAACAGTTAATTGCTCTTAGTTACTATAGATAATCTTAATTTGATGTACACCAACCCAATTGTATATGCTATCCCATTTTGATAATAGAAGTAAGTTGTTTCCACTACAAGAGAAACACAATATTTCTTCAGATATAAATTCGCAGGTGAAATTGCGGAGTTTGCTTCAATAATTATAAACCCAAGATCACTCTAGCTTAAAGTATCTTCTATATAGATCCGTTACCACTTCGCCAAAAGGTTATATGCTATCCCATTGTGATAACAGAGGTAAGTTGTTTACACTACAAGAAAAACATAGTAATTCTGAAGAATTTCATGCAGATATAAATTTGCAGGGAAAACTGCGGATTTTACTTCAAATTTAGAAAAAATATATTTTCCTATATAACAACATTTAGCAGCAAATTTTACAGGTATCTCTGTGGTTTTTCCTGCGAAATATACTAATTACTGTATTTTCCTACTAGAAGATGTTTTGCAGAAAATCCTGCAAGAATACCTGAGGATTTTTACCCAAATTTACATTCCTTACAAAATCCGCAAGAAAATTTTCTGCAGATTTCATTTATATAATTTTTACATAACTTTTTTACATGTAGCAAATAAAGTATAATTTTTTCTTTTAAAATAAAACAATTTTTTTGTAAAAAAAAGTTCAATATGTTTTAGTTTTTTTTTAAATAATAATGTTTGTTTAAATTCTACAAAAACTATTTTATCATTTTTTGGTGAAAGTAATGTTAAATCTATGTTTTTTGAAATTTTAAATTTAAACTCATTTTCTTTAAAATAATTTTAATACATATTAATTTTATTTATTACATATTATTAAAGATGTCATAATTGTTGCAAGAATTTTCAAATTTTTAAAATTAAAATAATATAATATTGTTAAATAATAAAAATAATTTAAATTAAAATATAATGTTATGAATGTAATATAATGTAATTTGTAGTTAGTAATTTATTATGAGATTCATTAATCCATTGACATGTGTTCAAATCCAACTTCTTTAAGATATTTTGAGTTTTCAACTAGTATTATTTGCGACCTCTCTAAACTCTATTTAAAATTAGATATATAGAATTTAGAAATTACCTGACTCTGACACAGAACAAGCTTTAGATTCTGAATGTAAAAAGATTGTAGCCATCAGGGAGAGGTTGGCTTCTTCATCTTCTCCTTCATTGTCAAGTTCTTCTCATGTTTTCATAAGACTTTTGTTGAACTTGTTTTTAAAGTTGTTCTTTTGGAAGTTATCCTTCTTGCTTTTGTCTTTGTGGAGACCAGGACATTCAGCAATGAAATGAACAGGCTTGTTTAGTACTACGAAAAAGCCATATGATAACTGTTGGAAACGGGATACCACAATGCCTGACCATTCGTTGTGAGACAATGGGTGATTGTATGTCTAGTGTTTTCCACGATGGTCGGAAGACATTGATAGTAAGGCAAGACGTGCGCTACTTACCACAACGGTTACTAGTATCAACTGTTGTGGTATATACATTTATGAAAATAAATCATGGTTAAAATAAATAACTGTTGTTGAAAGTATTCAGATTTACTATAAAATATGTAGATTTCTTGTTTTTCAATAAATCACACAACAACATACAACCATTCAAATTAATGAAGAAGTATATAATCTGAAAATTAAATTATTCTTAAAAACTAACTTACACAAATCACTATTTTCCAAATTGCATGTGTCTCATCATTCATTTTTCTCTCTTTAATATATAGAATATGGTTAAATGGTATAAGTCCTTCATGATATCTTCCTTCTATTCTAGTTTAATTTTAATAATATCAATAAATTGTTGTTATTCAAATTAAACTATAAGAGAAGATATGGATGTAATGAAGGAATCAGGTCATTGAACCATATCATATATGTTAAAGAGCGGACGATGAATGATGAGACAGATGCAATTCAAAAAATATTGATTGATATAAGTTGGTTTTGAAATGCGATTTAATTTTCAGATTATAAGTTTTCAAGTCAATTTAAATGAAATGTATTTCAGTGAAGGGTTTTTGAAACAAACAATCTACATAGCATATAATAAACTCAATTTCATCTACATAACATAAAAGAGTTTAAAGAATAAAATATTGCTAAGTCACGAGAATCTTCTTTCTTGTGACTTAGCAATGTTTTGTTCTTGTTCTAAAAACATTAAACAACAACAACAACATACAACAACATTTATCAATAAGAACAAAATATTTATCAATGTTTTCAGAACAAGAAAAAAACATTGTTAAGTCATAAGAAGCTTCTTTCTTTTGACTTAGCAATGTTTTGTTCTTGTTTTGAAAACATTAATCAACAACGACAACATACAACAACATTTATTGACAACACAACAACATACAACAAAAAAAAGTAAGGCTCAAGAAAGCAAGATATGATAAACAAAAACAATAATAAATTATGAAGTTCTGAGAAAATTGATCAACAACAACAACATACAACAACATACAACAACACAAGATATTACGTAATCTTTCAAGAATGCACCTTTTTTAAAACTAGTTGTGGATCAGGAACAAACTATGAAGTTCATCTAGTTTATGAAGCTATGAAGAAGTACAAGGTGAATGAAGTTTACGCAATAACTTCATACTTCTTGCATTTTTCTTCATAGCTACAAAAACCATATGTATCATAGATAAAGTATGTGCTTTGTTATGGTGGTGAAGACAAATCTGAAAAAATGATAACATTCACCAAATGAAAAAAATGAGAACTCATTTTTAACAAGAAATGTAAATGAAATTGAAGCATAAGTTTAATGAACGAACCTCAAGATAGCGATTAGTGAAGACGAATCTAAAGGTTGAAGTATGCTTGAAGAGTGACATGGATGTTAAAGTTATCTTATGAGAGAGAAGAGTGAAATATGTTAGGGTTTTCTTTTGAGAGAAACAATTGTTATGTAGTGAGCGATAGATACTTTCGCTTATATACTAAAAAATATCACTTTTCATCACGGTTAGAAAGAAAAACCGTGATACAATTTTCAAATTTTACAACGGTTGTATTGTAAAATCATGGTTAAATAACTTTCAATTTTTTATTTATATATAAACGCAATGGTGAGAGAGTTATTAATTGTTGTTATTATTATTCTTCATTACTGTTAATATTTTTATTGTTATTTTTGTTGACTTGAACTGCTTTTTTGTAAAGAGAAAATAGAATATAAAGGTAAGAGTATATAAAACAATAGTAATAAATAAGCTCATTAAGATGCCCAAAAGGGAAGAGTATATAAAACATAATTTTTTCATTATATAATTTTGTCGAGATCGGAATAATATCCCCTAGCACTAAAGGAACCTTCATAATTTATGACTCGCTCCTCACAACTCTCACCAGAATCATAGTAAAAAATCTTCCTCGACACCTTTTTCTTCTTCTTCTTCTTCAGCTTCTTATTCTTATTCTTCTTCTTGGCCTTCATCACCCTTAGTGTATCCTTGAGAGTAGTCGATCTAGATGGCTGAACCTCCTCATTTGACTGCTGATGTTGTTGGACTATGGTGACTTCAGTTGACATATTTTTACTAGCATTCTTAGATGGAGAACTCATGCTGCTATAGAGAGTTAAGATGAATAGTTTGAAGAAGTGGAAATTCATTATATGAAACTGTGCATTTATATAAGAGGTTGAAGATGAAACGTTTGATGATTTAATCTTTGAAAATGATTACTTCTAGTGGTTAATATTCTTGAATGACTTGTGACTGTCTTGAGAAATAAAGAAAATTTGTAATTATCATTATAGTCATATCTCTCTTTTGGTTAGAACGTTTCTCTTTATGGGAAGAGCAATGATTGTACAGATCATATTACAACGGTTGAATATTAAAACCGTGATTAAATATTTTTCAATTCTTTATTGATTTATGAAATTAAGTGACACACGCATTTTGTAATAGGAAAAATGAAAAAAAATCTAGTTGTCAGGATTCGAACCTTGTACCACTCATTTTATCACCACGGTTCTTTATATCAACCGTGATTAAATAACTTTAAAAAAAATAAGTATTAGCCACTTCCAGTTTTTGATATTACACCGTTGGAAGGTATAACCGTAGTAATATTATGTTACTGAAGGTGTATTTTGTAGTAGTGGTTGCTGTTGAAACAACCATCCTGGTCTTTACTCCCAGATCTTGAGCCTTAGAAGTTATCTCTCTTACCAGAGAATTTTTATTCCTTCTATCCAGTTGTCGAAATCTTATGATGATAAAAGCTAGATCACCATCATTAGATTTTTAATTAGAAGCTTCATCAAGAGTGGCTTCTTTGAGCATTTTAGTTTGAGAAGATATCTCAAATCTCTTAAAAGAATTTAAAGTCAAAGTTTTAACTTTCTTCTCAGGCTCATCTTCATTTAACTTCATTTCATAAATTTGGAGATTACTAACAATACTCTCAAGACTTATAGTGTTTAAGTCTTTAGCTTCATGAATAGTAGTTACTTTGTGTCGATATTTGACAGGAAGACTGCTAAGAATCTTCTTGACATGATCCACAGTAGAATATTTCATGTTCAAGACCTGAAGTTCGAACACAAGAACTTTAAATCTTGAGAATATAGATTCAAGGTTCTCATCCTCCTTCATTCTGAACAACACATATTGTTGAACCAGAAGATTTAGTTTTAGCCTCTTGCACTTGTTCATTACTCTTATAGGTAGCACATCGAGATTTAAAGATAGTATGAGTAGTAGACTTATCAATAATCTTTATATACTCAGAATGAGGCAAGACATCAATAAGAATGCCTCTCACTCTATAATGTTTTCTATAGATCTTTTGTGATCAAGAGTGAGAGACTTCCTATCAGCAACCATTCAAACACCATTGACCTGAAAGCCAATGACATCTTCAAGGTTGTCCCAAAACTCAACATTCAATCCAATGATATGAGTGTATATCTTGCTCTTCCATCATTCAAATTTAGTCGAATCACCACTAAATGTTGGTGGTTTAGCAATATAACTATTTTGACCAGATGTACTTTAGTTGTGGTTGTTGTTGCCATGAGGTGAAACTCCATCAGTAATAGAAGAAGTGATAGGCATTATGAGATCTATAAATTTCTAATGATCTTTTGTATACCACTCTTAAGTATGAATGCACACATCGCACTTTGATGCCAATTGAAGGTGAGAAAAATAGACAAGAAGGGGGATTTGAATTGTGTATGCCAAAGTACGTTCCAATTTTGAACTGAGAACTTTAAAATTTGAACTATGTTTAGAGTCTGATATCAAAATGTGTAATAGCAACGAAATAATAAAGCTCAGAAGTAAATGCAAGCAACCAACAAAGATTATCCTAATTCCCCTTTCCAAATGAGAGTAGTACATTCCTCTTGCCTCAACAAGAGATTTTCAATATAACGAAAATAATTACAAATGCTTAAGCCGTTGCTCAAGACTTTCTATTCAATCAACCTTGACTGAGACTTTATTGATTAAGCCACTTCTCAAGTCTTCTTGCTCAATCAACCTTGAATGAGACTTCATGCCTAAACCATAGGTTCAAGACTTCCTTCTCAAGTACAAAAGCAAGAGACTAAAATGCTCAAGCACACAGGCAAGAGACTTTCTCTACTTCAAGTGAACAATTTAATAGAAAAGATAACTACTATAATTGGATAGATAATAAGAAGTATAACAATTTTGCAACAAACACAAAGGTTTTCAACCTTTCTAAGATTTCTAAGATAAATCTAAGATAAGAAATCATAAGATCTTATGTTATAATAGTTACAATAAGAGCTCAGTGTTATGCTATGATCTTTCAGTGTGTTGTGATGTTGTAACATTCCTTTGAGTCTTTAGCTTCCATTTATAGAGATAGAAAAAGAGTCGTTGGTGAGTTGTATCCAATCAGAAGCTTTGTCCACTGAATAAATGTAATGTCCATAACACCTTTTGAGTAACTAGGTATCTACCTAAAGGTATTATAGACTGAAGAGGTCACATCACAATCCTTGAGCCTTGCAAAATCAAATTCTAGTTGACTCTATCTAGAAATTTGTCACTTTGACAAAGTTGGTCACCTTTGGTGCAGAGTATGGATCAGATGTTCCTTAAGCCTTTAGGGTCTGAGCTGTCACCAGAGACTGAACAACATACCAGAGTCTGGGATTTCAACAAGATTAATTCATGATGAATTTTTAGATTATGATTCTGCACACTTGAACATATGTTAGTAAACTCTATTGTTCTTTAAATACTTTGTTATCATCAAAACTTTTTAAGGGCATTAACAAATCTTGTTCCAACACATGTCTCTACACAATAGTCGATACTCCTTCATACATATCTTGGATAGCTAGAATATATGTAATCCTAATCCTTTTCTTCTCTAAGACTTTCCATAAAATCTCTCCAAGCACTCTATCGTACATCTTCTCCAAATCAATAAAAATTATGTGCAAGCCTTATTGATCCATCTGTTATTGTTCCGGCACAGGTCAAATTGATTTTCAGTAATTTTAGTCTCTTTTCTTAACTTCTGTCCAATCACTCATCTTCATAACTTTATGATATAAATCATAAATTTAATCCCCCTAATTTTTACAATTTTATATATCATCCTTATTATTATAGATTGGTACTAGAGTGCCTCCATTCATCCAACATTTACTTTTACCTCATTATTTCATTAGAGAATTTTTAAACTTCAATACATATGTCATCTGACTGAACAACTTTATTGTTACTCATTATTTTCAACTTTGATTTAGCTTTTGTTTCTAAATCCTACAGTAGCATAATTTTCTTTATCATAAAAGTCACATGTAGTCAACAAAACAATAGTACCGTCTAGTTGGCTAACATTAATTAACCTAACGACATAGAATTTTATATTCAAACAAAGAAGACTCCAAGTCAGCGTTTAGTTATCATTCATTTGTTTTTAATTTTCATTCGGCAGAGTGACCGGTGGGAAGTTACAGCTAAAATTAAATAATTATTTTTCATAGACTCGATATGTTTAGTCATTATATATATATATATATATATATATATATATATATATATATATATATATATATATATATATATATATATATATATATATATATATATATATGTGTGTGTGTGAAAGGAGGAAAACTTGTTTATTTAACTAATTATTGGGGTTGTTGGTTCTTTGGGATATATATTTGTCGCCTACAAAACATGAAGCTGAGTAGGAAGCTAGGCTCAAATTTATTTAGTTTTTAATCAATTAATACTCCCTTTATATAGTTTTCCATACTCTCTTCATTTCATATAATCTGTCTAAATCTTTAAAAACTTTTTTCTTCATTTTGGTATTGAAGATGCAATCTGATTTTGAATGGATGGTTCCCATTGAAGTGATGTTGGGTTCTCTCAAACATGGTGAAGTTCAAGCATGCAGCATTTCCAACGTTCCAGACAAACTTCGAGAAGCAAATGAAGATGCTTACAAACCAAAGCATATCTCCATAGGTCCCTTACATAGAGGAGCCACCAGACACCTTCAGATAATGGAAGAACCAAAATGGCATTACATGCGCGAGTTTCTTGAACGACAAGGAACACCGGAGCAAAATAGAAAATCAGAAATAAGGTTAAGAGAATGTGGCTTTGACATTCTCCAGTTGGATCAAGTCGTCTGCGCTAGTTATGGTGGAAGCAACAACAAGATCTTCGAAGAAATAGATTCACACGAAATTACTAAAATAATGATAATAGATGGTTGTTTTCTGTTGGAGCTTCTCATTAGGCTCGGCGATTACATGGAGAACCAATCAACAACTTCTTATAAAAGCGACCCAATCCTTAAAACCGAGGAAAAGGTGTTGTCGGTTTTAAACGATATAGCAATGCTTGAGAATCAAATTCCATTCGTTGTTCTCAAGAAATTATATAGAAAAGTATTTCCTAATGGAAGGGAGATCAAAGACGATCATCGTGTTGCTGATATTGTTCGCAAGGCCTTTGGATATGCTTTGACAAGTAGCTCGGGGGGTGCTCATATACTTCATTTGATGCATCTGTCTACTGTGGAACAAAACCAACAACATGAAGGGAAAAAGGCAAAGCTAGAGTTATTGCGCTGTGCTACAAAGCTTCGTGCTTCTGGGGTAACAATTCGAGCTAAATTAAATAGTGCAAGTCAAAATAAACATAAGCTGGTTGATATATTTGATTTTGGTATAAGTTTTAGTGATACTGGAAAGTTGGAAATTCCGCCGTTACATGTTAAGAAAACAACCGAAGTGAAATGGAGGAATTTGATTGCTTGGGAGCAAAGCAAGATTTGGATTAGATGCAACTACACTTCTTATGCACTTTTCTTCAAGGGTTTGATATGTTGTGCTCATGACATTGAATTGCTTGTGGAAAAAGGGGTTATCGTGAATGAGTTGAACAAGAGCAATGAAGATTTGTTGGCAATGTTTCGCACCATTTCCAATGGAGCTGAACATATGGATTTGAGTTATAGTGAGATTTGTGCAAGGTTGAATGTGTATGACTACAAGGGAATGAAAGTTAATAAAATGTTGCAAAAACTACCTATTAGGACATGGCATCAATGTAGGTGTGTCTTTGAGATGGTTGAGTACTACGGGCGAAACTGGTACAATATTTTGATACGTGAACATATACCGACGGTGTGGAAATTCATAGGAATTGTGGCAGCTGCTGCGCTTCTTGTTCTCACCATCATGCAGACATATTACTCATCCCACAATGGCTAATTTGAATCAAGTAGCTAAATCAATCAAAATTCTGGATTTAGTTACATATTGAGTTGTACTTAGGTGTTTTACTTTGATGTGATTTCTTGCAGTAGTTCTTCTGAGGTTGTTTTCTTTTTCAAAGAGTGTTAGGCTCTTCTAGTTGTTTTGTTGTTTGGGTTACTTTTTTTGTCTAGGATTGAGTATTTCTTGTACTCATTTCTCTCTCATATAAATATATATATTATTTGTCATTAAAAGGAAAAGGAATCTTAGACAAATGAATCATCCACAAAGTTTTTTCTTGATCCTTAAAGTGTATTTGTACTTTGGTGTGGTCTTCTTTGCCTTTTTTATGGTGGTCTCATACTTTCCTTTGAGTTGAGGTTTATATGGATTCCTTAACCTTTTATTTTACAAATTTACTTGAGAATACTTTGAATGGTTGCTTGAAAAGATGCTTTGAATACTTTGAATGATGCACATGGGTTTTAGAAGTCTTTATCCCTTTAGAGAGATCCATCACATGGAAGTGTTTTGGTTTTGTAAGTTTAAGGAAATATTTTGTAAATGTGGTTTAAAATATTTGTTGTGAAAAGAAAGAAAATATTTTAGAGATTGTATTTACTGCGAAAATCAGAAGTTTTAATTAGAAAGTTAGACGAAAAGTCTGGAAAAAAAATTGGTCGGTGAATAGTGGCATCTGTACGGTGAAAAGTGTTATTCGTACGTATGAATAGTGACGCTCATATGGTGAATAGTGTGTCCATACGGTAAACAGTATTTTTGAGTTTTCGGGCTTTTTGGATTCGGTCCATGGATCCATGTGATTATGGGCTTTGTTTGTTGGGTATTTGTTATTATAAATATGTATCTCTTATATGTTTGGTGTGTGACAATCTTAGAATTTTCACCAATAAGGGAGACCAAGGGTATAAAGGTATAACATAGGGTTTCAGCTATGCACAAAGAAAACCTTGGATTACACATTGGGTTTGAGCGATTCATATATTGAGAGTTGGAGAGGTAGCGAAACATTTGGGTAGAAAATATGGTTGTTCTTGGACGCCATCAGGGTTGTTCTAGGAAACCTGAAGGCGAAGGCTATTTTGTTGTAACGCATCTGTAATATCTTGTAACAACTTTCTGAGTATAATGAATTGGAAAGCTGCTCTCTCCCCAAGAGTGGATCGTTTGATCGAACTAGGTAAACAAACCTTCAATTTTTTCTTACCTTATTCTATTATATTACCTGTGTACGGATGGATTATTATTGTTGAAAACCATTTATTTTGGTTGCTATTGTTCTTTGCCTCATAAATTGATATTGAATTTTGTTGTAATTCACAACAAGATTCACAACAAGTGGTGCGGTGAGCGTGGAGTAAAGAGATATTGTTGACTAGTGAGCACCATGGTTAGTAGATGGAAGATCGAGAAATTTTCCGGTACCAACGACTTCGGATTGTGAAAAATTAAGATGCAAGCAATTTTAATTCAAGAGAAGGGTATCAATGCTTTGAAGAGTGAAGCATTGATGCCTGCAAGACTTACACATGCATAGAAATTGCGGATAAGGCCAGGAGTTCCATTATCTTGTGCCTCGGGGATAAAGTTCTAAGAGAAATCGTCAAGGAGTAAAATGTGGTTACTATGTGGGCAAAATTTGAATCGTTGTATATGACAAAGTCGTTGGCTCACAGGTTGTATCTGAAACAACAACTTTATTCATTCCAAATAGTGGAGAACAAATCCATAGTTGAGAAGCTCATAGAATTTCACAAGATTATCGATGATCTTGGGAATATTGAAGTGAAGAGTTGAGGTTAAAACAACTTACGTGGTTAGTAGAGAATTTCTTCAGAAGAAGAATAGTGAAAACTAAGGGAGAAACTATAACGGAAAAAACTCAGTTTGAGGTGGAGTTTCCTACTATGGATGCTAGCAGTAGTGAAAGAACAGTTACACAGATATCTGATTATCATTTGACTCATGATAAGGTAAAGAGGGTTATTGTAGCATCTCAAAGGGACGATTGTGCTAGCCTTGGATATTATGTTTTAATGTGGCTGAAGAACTGCAAACTAAAAGAAAAAAACCTTCAGAGACGCATTTGTAAACAATTGGAGTCAAGGGTGGTTGAAAAATCATACTTGTAGGCTTGTTAAATTACCTAGGCAGAAAAGGGTAATTGGGAACAAGTGGATGCATGTTCCGAGATCACGATTCAAGGGTTTCTTGAATTTGATCAAACTTATTGATTAAAGTTTCAACTTGGTAGAGTAGCAATGTTGTTGATTGATATCAACACGGTTTAAAGTAAATGTGGAGATTGTTGTAAATGTGCCTTAAAACCTTTGTTGTGAAGAGAAAGAAAATATTTTGGAGATTGCATTTACTGCAAAAATCTGACGAAAAGTCGGGAAAAAAATCGGTCGGTGAATAGTGACATACGTAAGGTGAATAGTATTATCTGTATGGATGAATAGTGACGACTGTATGGTGAATAGTATTTCCGTATGATGAATAGTATTTTCGAGTTTTCGAGTTTTTTTCGATTCGTTCCATGGATCCGTATGATTTTGGGCTTTGTTTGTTCGATATTTGCTATTATAAATATGTATCTCTTATATGTTTGACGTGTGACAATCTTAGAATTTTCACCAATATGGGAGACCAAGGGTTTAAAGGTATGGCATAGGGTTTCAGCTATGCACAAAGAAAACCTTGGGTTACACCTTGGATTTGAGTGATTCATATATTGAGAGTTGGAGAGGTAGTGAAACACTTGGGTAGAAAATATGGTTGTTCTTGGGCGTCTTCAGGGTTGTTCTTGGGAACCTGAAGGCGAAGGCTATTTTCTTGTAACTCATCTGTAATATTTTGTATCAACTTTCTAAGTATAATGAATTGGAGAGTTGCCCTCTCCCCAAGAGTGGATCGTTTGGTCGAACTAGGTAAACAAACATTTGATTTTTTCTTGCCTTATTTTGTTATATATATTACCTGTGTACGAATGGATTATTATTACTGAAGACCATTTATTTTGGTTGCTATTGTTCTTTGCCTTACAAATTGATATTGAATTTTGTCGTAATTCACAACAATATATATATATATATATATATATATATATATATATATATATATATATATATATATATATATATATATATATATATATATATATATATATATATATATATATATATATATATATATATATATATATATATATATATATATATATATATATATATATATATATATATATATATATATATATATATATATATATATATACTCGTCCAAAGAAAACGTATTCAAGCGGAAGTTCACTATTAACCTGGAGCTATTCTAGAGCACCCTATGTAGGGATCGGATTGAGTTAACCTCACATCTATTTTGTGACTTGTAGTTTGATTTCTAGTGTCTAGTTATGATTTTTAGTTGGCTAGGGTGCAATTGATGATTCTTAGGATCTTAGGTTTATTTAAGGCTAAGTTTAAGGGTCCGTTTATCATGATTTGACATGTTGTGGTGTGGACTATCACGATAAGAAATATTGTCATTTTTCACATGATATTCATGTCACTAAGTTCAAAATCACATCATTAAAAAAAATTGTGACGTGGGCAGAGCACGTCGGAGGAGCATCCGTGGGAACTTTTTTCCACGTGAAATTCACGTTATTAATTAGTGACATGAATTTCAAGTCACAAACCACAATATTATTTGGAGATGTTCCCACGTAAAATTCACGTTACTAATTAGTGACATTGTTTTCACGTCACAAAACTTAGACCTGTTTTAATTTTAGTGACGTGAATTTCACTTCACTGATGTATTTTAAAATAAAATGTAAAAATTAATAAATATTAATGAATAAAACAAATTAATAATTATTTTGATTTAAAAACTCAAAATTTATAATAATTTTAATTACTAAAAGATATAAAATATTTAGTCACACGATGTTCACGTCACAAACATAAATAATTATTAAAAAAAGTGTCACGTGATATTCATGTCACAAACATAAATAATAAAAAAAAATTGTTAATCGTCACTGCTAAATATAACATCTTCTTCGTCTTCTTCAGTATTTAAAAATATAAAATTTGTGTTTATAAAATCTAATTTTTATAAAATTTGTTTTTATAACGAATAATATAATATATTATAAAATCTGTTTTTTATAAAATCTATATTCAAAATATATATATATATATATATATATATATATATATATATATATATATATATATATATATATATATATATATATATATATATATATATATATATATATATATATATATATATATATATATATATATATATATATATATATATATATATATATATATATATAATTAAATCTGTATTTAAAAATAATATATATTAAAATAAAATAATTTCAGATTTTATGACATTAATTATGTGACCTAATAAAATCTAATGCTATATATAAATTTTAATCTAATAATTAAAATCTGAAAATTTTAATAATTATACTACAACAACAAACAACCACAATCAACAAGTAATTTCATAATAAAAATCAGAATAAATAAATAAAATTATTATAAAATAATTAGATCTTGCAACTTACCTTAGTAAACTTGAAGAAAAATTGAAGCTTTAGATAGATAAACTTCTCCAATAAATATGGAAAAGCTTGATGATTTTAGATTTGGAAACAAATAAAGAGAGAAATATTATATTTACGAAATTATAAAATAAAATAAAATAATAAATAAAACCTTAAAATACTTACATTAATTGGTTAGATTTCATTCTAATTTCCTTTAATATAATTATTCGTTTTTTGACATTCTATAGAACATTTTCATCTAAACTTTTGTCTTATTTTACAGTGGACACTGGTTTTTGGTTGCGATTAATCCGATAAAAGAAATAGTGTATTATCTGGATTAATTGGATGGTGATCAAACAAAATATCCAGATATGAAGAAGATGTCTGATACGTAAGTGATGAGATTGTTTTGAATAATTAT